AACAACCGACGGAGACGCTCAGTCAGTGGTGTTTGGCTGCAGCTACCACCGACGATACCAGGAAATGACAGTCACATGACAGACGCTGACGTGCCAGCCCTATAAGAGGTGTGGAGCCAGGCCCACACCTAAATCTCGTTGATGGACTAATTATTGGCCCGTGTGCGTTTTAAAGCTCACACGAACCTAAGTGATTAATAGCGCCTCATAAAATCTTCACCAATGATTTCATACTATTATAATTAGGGTGACTAGATATCTCCCTTTATGCCGGACTCGGCTTCTCAGTTAACGAAAGTGAACTTTCACGAGAAATACGCTGCTGTGCAAACGTTTTGAGCTAACCTGCATTTCTTTACATTTTGGAAGTTTTCAGAAGTGGTCTTGAGTAATAGTTTTCCAGGCTTTCTGAAGATCTTTCAGAGTTTTTATTTGGACATTTTGTTAAGCCACTTAACACTGACTTATTAATTGTTCAAGCATAAAAAGGGATAAACATGACAACTTGGAAAAGAACCAATTTCAAACTGTCTTTAGGCAGCTTGTTATTAGCAGCCTGTCAAAAAATGCATATTATTTGTTCTCGTGTCTTTAGTTGGATCTATAAAAAAATATAAAATTGGAATTTTACACCAACGACATTCCAATTCTCAAAGACCTATTAGCTGAAAAGTTGGCATATCTCGACATGGTGAGCAATGACCTTTGACAAAGATTTGAGCAAATTGGACTAGTGCAGGACTAAACAACCTGGAGGCTTAAAACTATCTACAGTCAATGGTCACAATCTGAAAGTCGTGTCCTTAAGAAAAGGAAAAGAAATTCCTCTTATTAACTGTATTCCCATGTATGTTTACTGCCTCAATAAATCACAGCACCTATTTATTACCATGCCTCAAGACCTTTGCGCAGTACTGTATGGCTCAAAAAAAGAGATGTTATTTTCTGTGGATTGATGGATAACCATTATTGCAAAAAAAAAAAAAAAAACGTGAGCAGACAAGATAGAAAATGGGATTATAGAAGCCATCCCATTAAAAACAAACTTTAGCTTATATTTAAGCTTACAAGGTGTAAATTGCTTTAATATAAAATATTCCATCTGTCCATCACATAATCAGCATCACACCGATAACATCTGTTTAACTTAGACTCTCTTTCGAGCTTTAGTACCCAGTCTCACATAGTCATACGCTGAAATAGTTGGGATCTGGTCACCCTAAATATAATTACACGTGTTTGAAACCCAGTGATTGAACATGACATAACCCACTGAAACAGTTATTTTAATCTGAAGAAATCTAACAGACTCATACAAACAACGGCATATCTGATCAATCATTGTCTGCCTCATATGTTGAGGCGTTTTCCATCCACTTTTCAGTAAGCCTGATAGGGAGACTTAAGAAAAAAAGTGTGTAGTAATGACATTGAATGTGGACTCTCATCATATTGTGCTTTTACTAAGGGTCATCAAAAACCTAACACAAAGTGGACTGCCATGTCAGATTTTTTAAAATGCTTTGTGGTGCATGTACAAAAATGACCTTCAAAGAAAAAGCAAAAGAGAAACTTAAATGTGTTTACTTATACAAGTGGGCTGCCTTAGCAGCTTCATTATAGCCTATAACAACAAGAAGTGCTCCATTTTTGGCACATTTTGTGTGATTACAAACATCGCTATATCACTGGGCTACATGGCCTTGAAACTGTAAAACTTTGCTGATGCAGGATCACACATTTGCCACAGAAATTCCCAAAATTTCCAGTTCCCTACTTTAAATGTTAGTCCCACTTTTGACACTGACAGAAGAAACAAGCATCGGTTTAATTTTTATCCTTTTTTCTCTCTCAAACATGTGGTACATTTAGAGCATTGTTAGGTGTGTTAGCATTTGCCTGGGATACTGGATGAACAAAAAGGAAGAAAAAAAATAGTGACTTGATAACAAAGAGCATATTGATGCAAACCAAGGACAAAGAAGAATCTAAGTTTGAAAATAAATACTTTTCCTCTCCATTTAAAAAAAAAAGAAAGAGCAAACTGAACAATATCTGTGTGTCTTCTTTGTCCCAGCTCTCTCAGAGGCACTGACAAATATGGACAATATTCTCTTTTCAATAGGCATGCAGTCCACAGGATCACAAGACCCCTGACGAGAAACCCT